TATTTCTCACACAATCATAATCATTACTTTTGCATGCACTTGAGCGCGGAATAGTCTACAGGCTTATATTTTATCTATATCTATTAAATAAAGCCTCATTATGGTTTAGTCTTAATATAATATTTGCGATTTGCCACTAATGGTTTAAATGAGTCAGGAGCAGCCCTACTAAATAGTGAAATGTGTTATGTTTAAGAATGTAATTACATGTGAAATGTTTTAAAATTCTCTCACAAGGGGTTGTAATGTTGTTGACAAAAAAGGTTGAGGACCCCTGTCCCCTGCTCTAGTTCTTTCTGATGTGCTTTGTTCTGTCTCCTGTCAGCCACATTGAGTCTCAGTTGGGCAGCACTAAAACTGAAACATGACTTACACACACACCTATAAACTGACTAACCCAGACAGCTGAGTCATCATTTGTTAACCTGCAGATCCTGGTTGTCAGGTCAACTTAGGACCCATGCAGGAAAAGGGTTAATCTGTCTGATTAGCGGCAGACATTAATAAGGCGGTCTTTCACTTTGCCTGAACCATCTGTTGTAATGGACGTTTTATGGACTCTACATGTAAGAGAATAAATTATTTCCTTGTCCATGTACACTGAAAAAAAAATCACTCTAAAATTGGTTGTAAATTTCAAAGAAACAGCAAGAAACACATTGAATTAAACATGAAATTTTGAAGTAGAATATTGTAAATAATATTTTGTGGTAAAATGTACCCCAATAATCTTCTATTCGCTACTTTGAAAAATAATTTTACAGTGTACTGAATGGGATAATTTACTTTGAACTTGTCATTATTGCAAAGCAAACCCCTTTTTGATAATAAAAAACCCCACTCTTTCTTGCCTGGGTCTTGATCATTATGTTGGGGTTTATTTTGCTACAGACTGACAGGCAAAGGTAGCAGCTATTAGTCATTTTACTAAGGTTAATAACATGGGCTGTCATGATGTTGAGTCTGGCTGGATGAATCAGTTTAGCGAGTAGTTGTTCCTAAGAGCTTCATCATGATTTAACCAGGCACAGAGAGTGAGAAAGAGATAGACCCCCTACTGAGATCACATTACACAGACCGACAGATACAGAGAATATTTTAGCAGCCATTTATTGCAGTCATTTAGCATGGCTGTTGTTCAGCTTATCCGTCAAACTATGTGTATTAGAGGAGAGTGTCGACATGTGGAAAGTTCGGTGTCCTAATGCGATTCTGTGTCTATTTGACTTTATTTTAGATTATTTTTTTATGCACTGATATCAAAAATCTGGGCGTCTAAAGTCTATTCAACATATATATATATATACGTACTGTAGATGTTGATCCAAACCCAAATTGAACCATTTTATTGTCCAAAAACAACTACTATTCTTTCAACATCGAATATAAATTGTATATGTTGCAGATCCAAGAAAGGAGCGCAAAACATTGATACTTCAACATTCCTCTGAACTTGAATCTTAGAAATGTAAAGAATGTCTTCACCAAAGGAGGCGCTTAAAATTCCAGTCATATTTTGTTATCACATGAGCTCTTTTTTGGGTCAACAGCTTATGTAAAATATTGTCAGTAAGGGAAAACGTTGTGTTTGTGCAGTAACCAATCACACATTTCTTTAAAGTCAATCACATGCTTAACCTGTTAACTGTCACCCCCCCTTTTTTGAATAGACATGAAAATGCACATTTCGAACTTAAATGGTTGTAATTCAAGAATGCTTTGGAATATAGACATATGATTGGTCTTGTTTTAAAGAAGACATTTGGCAGATTTTTGTAGAAGTGAAATAAATTAAGAAAGTGAAACAGAAAAAAAGTTATAGAAGTTTGAGTTTATGGAAATGTACAATGTAAAAATATTAATTATTCATATTTTACATAAAATATATATTTTCAAAACCTGGGCTACTCTAAAATGTCAGAAAGATCAAAGCCAAAAATCTGAACAAGTTGTGTTTCGAATTTTAGGTTGATATCTCAAAAAATTAGCTTTCAGTAAGATTTTGTTTGAGCGCAGTACCAAACTTTTTCACTAGGGCACAATCAGACTCCATTACTGCCCATATAAGGGCGTCTGCATTTCCATTCGTGTTTTGAGTGATATGAACCATTATTTTCACAATTTTCATACAATTTCTGAAGTAGAGATCCTATTCAGAAGTAGCATGGGAAGTTTGACAGATTTTGATATGAATTGAACCTCTAAGAAACACATACAAAGAACACGCATGTAAGTCATAGCTAGCTGCCACGTCACAAATGGTGAATTTATTATTTTTTTCTTGATATTTCAAACTTTTCAGACCTTTTTTTTCCAAAATAATTGAATGGATTCTATCTTTTGAACTTTTGGCATGAAAACAAACTGAGGTATCTACCATTTTTTCATGATTTTTCATGTTTACTGCTATTTTAAAATAAAGGTCTGAACACGCCTTATGAGTATGAAAATATTCTTGTTTTATATTGATAAATTATGGCTCCTCTGTAATATATTTTGAAAATCAGTCACCAAATATGGAAACTAGAGATTGTAAGCTTTCAAATGATATATAGTTTGTCAATATTATTTTAGGTATTTACTAAGATATTATTGTTTTAAAAATATAGTGGCAAACGTCCCACCTGTGGGACGTTTTAAAGGTTACTCTGAGATCCCATCAACCCCTTACATTTAGATTACCTTTGTCGTTATCTAAACTAATCTTTAAAAACACGAATTATTCAATAACACTGTTAAATATAATATTTAGCCAATCTCAAAAAAACATTTTTATAATGTACATTATGTGATTTCTGAATTTACTTGTAGCATGTAAATGACAAATATTTAGTGTTTTAGTTTGATTTAGACAATATAGTATTGAATTTTGAAATCCCCATAACATGAAAATAGTTATTGCTTCAGACCGAATTATATAATTTAAATAGAATAGAATTCATAGAATACAATTTTGACATTAGTTTGATTTTTATTCATTCATTTTGATATATTTGAATATATATATATGAAAAATGATTAATATTTATGAAAAATTATTTTATATCTGATATAAAAAAATGTTGTTTTTCACAGCCCTGGTCTGAGCAACGTATTAGATACTTGGTTTGTAGAGCAGAACCTCAAAGGAAAGGAGATAACAATGAAGACAAGTGAATCTAAACATCTGCCAGATGTTCGTCTGTCTTATCTGCGATGGCTGTATACTGTCCTGAAACGACCTCAGTTAACTGTGTCTGTGTGTGTGTGTGTGTCTCAGTTTTTGTTTGACTTGGACAGCGTTCTCTTGTTTCACATGTGTGTGTAATATTATTTATTGTGTGATGGATCCGTGCTCTGGCTGTGCGGCTTGCGGCAGGGGTCAGACGAGGTGAGGTGAGGGCTTGCCGTGTTTCTAAGTAACACAGTCGATGTGTAGTCTGCAGTCTGGGCTCAGCGCAGCGTCCACTGGGATGACGGAGAGCTTTAAAGGTTGTCTGAGGACATGTTCTGACTGGTCTTTGAGTCTTCTCCAAATGAAAATGGAGTTATTGGCTTTTTTTTTTTTTTTGAGAAGTTAAATCAATGATATTAAGCCACAGAAACATTAGCTGTGGCTTGTGATAACTATGTCCAGTAAAGTGTTCTGTCGTGTTATGTAACCGTCATTAACGGCTGACGCTCCTGCTGGGGATTGAAGACTCTAATGTGCATCTCTTCACAGGAACTTGATGTTTTGTTGCTGGTAAAAATCTGCAGTAAGATCATAAAATGTTGATGTGTTGACCCCCTGCTTTTTCTCATTTTTATTTAATGAAACATTCATGTTGCGTCTGTGCTGTGTCTATATTTTTTCTCGATCTCAAACCTTTTCTTTGAGGTCAGTAGTATATTTATATATTTTAAAGAAATTAATACTTTTATCCAGCTAGGATAAAAAGCAACTGTAAAGTCATTTATAATGTCACTATCTTAACAACATAATGTATCACAGTTTCCACAAGAATGTTAAGCAGATTTATTATAATAATAATAAATGTTTCTGGAGTGTCAAATCAGCATATGAGAATGATTTCTCAAGGACCATGTGACACCGAAGACTGGAGTAATGATGCTGAACATTTTAAACTGATATAATATTCCACCATATTACTGTTTTTATCTTTTTACTGTATTTTGATCAAATAAATTCAGGTTTTGTGAGCATAAGAAACATTGTTTTTTTCAAAAACATTAATAAACCTTACAGACCCCAAACTTTTGAATGGTAGCGCATGCTAAATCAAATATCCTTAAAGGGATACTCCACTTTTCATGGAAATAGGCTCATTTTACAACTCCCCCAGAGTTAAACAGTCGAGTTTTACCATTTTCGAATCCATTCAGCCGATTGTCTGATTTTTAGAAGAAGTCAGTTCAGAACCAGTCAGTTTCTGGTCTCATTGACTTCCATAGTAGGAAAACAATATACTATGGAAGGCAATGAGACTAGAAACGGTCTGGTTACTGATATTCTTCTAAATATCAGAAAATCGGCTGAATGGATTCGAAAACGGTAAAACTCAACTGTTTAACTCCGGGGGAGTTGTTAAATGAGCCTATTTCCAAAATAAAGTGGAGTATCCCTTTAAATGTGCAAATTAATGCTGAATTAATATATACTCTCTCGACTCAAACCACTGATACATTTGCCATTATTGTCTTAGTTTGGTTGATTACATGGTTTGCAGCAAGAGGAATTATTTAATGAAATTATACATGCATTTTTAAAAATTCTGAATAAGATCATTCTTAATAGAATTGAATCAAATTGTATATCGAATTGAATTGAATCAAATGAACCCAATGGAGTTGATTGACTCGCTGTCAATCCTTAAATATTCCATTCAGTGCTCACTGCAGTATTAAGTCTTAGAGGAAACTATGGTAACCTTTTTGTTTTCCTTTTGCTGGTGATTTTTTTTTTTTCTACAGTATATAATTCAGTCACTCAACTCATTTCTTCTTTCTGTCTCTCTCAGTGAGCTTGCAGTCTGAAGGATGAGGTGGGGCGCATTGATTAGCATGCTGCTATGCTGAGAAGAGTTTATCCACCCAGGACGAGCGGCAGCGACTACACGTTCCCTTCCTAAATCAGCTATCTGACACCTGCTCTGAATCAAGTACCTGTCTGGATCTTACCCTCACACACTCACACACAGCTATGGCTGGCTGGCTCTGGCTGGGAGGGTAATCGGTGCGCTGGTTGCCCTGGCAACCCCACCCTGATTACTGCTGAATTGAGCCCTAGTCCGCCACTGAAGACTTTTTAGCCCCCCTCCACCTTTTCTTCTGAGTTTCTATTGCCCTTTCCTGGAGGTAGAGGGCAGGAGCTATGGACTTGTGAGGTGAGAATGGCAGCAAGGCGGCTGTTCGGCCCCCAGGAGCCCTCAGGCAGTCGGAGCCAATAACGTGGGTGCCCACACACGCACGCACACACACGGGCCGAGCGGCAGGAGCAGTATGCAGGAGGCTGACCTACCGGCCACCAATGCTTTCACAGGTGAGCCCCGGGCCAGGTTTATAACCTTAGTGTTGGCGTCACACGGGAACGCGAGTTTAATGATTACGTTCATGAGGAGGGTCGTGTTGTGCTTTACAAAGCCATGATGTTTTTTTGTGTGCTAATATTCAAAGCTGCTCTCTCACTCCCCCCTCCCTTTCCCAGACTCCTCTGCTCCATTTCTCTGACAGGCTGCATTTCTCTCCCCTGCCTGGAATGGAATGCGGAGAAGGAGAGAGAAAGCGTGAGATGGGTGGAGGGCGGTGGAGGTCGGGCTGTGTACTAAACCAAAGTTTGACAGTCTAGTGCACTGCAGACAGAGAGCAGAACCTGGTCTCTTCTTGTTTCTCATCTCCTTTCTGATTTCCTTTTTTCATCTACTTCTCGTCATCTCGTCTTGTCTCTTCTGGTTTGGCCTCAGGTCATCTCTTTTCTTCTTTTGTTGTCTCATTTCTGCTCTTCTTGTTTTGTCTTGCCTCATCTCTTCTTTTCGCGTCTCGTCTGGTTTCTTGTTTAATCTCTTCTAGTCTCTGTATCAATTGTTTCTTCTCGTCTCTTCTCTCGTTTCGTCTCATTTTGTCTTGTCTCGTCTCACCTAGTCTCTTCTTTTCGCATCTTGTCTCGTCTCCTCTTTTCTCATCTCATCTGATTTCTTTTTTAATCTTATCTAGTCTCTGCAGTTCTCATTTCTTTCTCTGGTTCTCATTCTTTTCTTGTGTTGCCTTTTCTCATCTCATCTTGTCTCTTCTTTTCTCGTCTCGTCTCTTGTCTCATCTCTGCATTTCTTGTTTCCTTTAGTCTCTTCTCTTCGAATTGCCTCTTCTTTCCTCTCCTCATCCTCTTATTTTTCTTTTTTTCTTGTTTTGTCTATTTTCATCTCTAGTCTGATCTTTTCTCATCTCTTTTTAAAGGGATACTTAAGGGACCACTTTTTTTTGAAAAATACGCTCATTTTACCACTCCCCAAGATTTAAACAGTTGGGTTTTACCATTTCCGAATTCATTCAGCCGATTTTCTGATATTTAGAAGAATATCAGTAACCAGACAGTTTCTGGTCTCATTGACTTAAGTACATTTGAAAATGGTAAAACCCAACTGTTGAACTCTGGGGGAGTGGTAAAATGAGCTTATTTTCAAAAAAAAGTGGAGTATCCCTTTAAATCTTAAATTGTCTAGACTCTTTTTTTGTATTTTGTCGTCTTTTCTCTCCTTTTTCCTATTTACTTCTCATCTTCTACTCTTGTTGTCTCTGGCTTTGTCTAGTCTCTCCATCTTTATTCACATCTCTTCTCCTCTGCTCTCGTTTTCCTATCTTGTGTCCTCATCTGTTCTCTCCCCGTGTCATCTCATCTCATATCTGTCTTCTTTCTTCTCACCACCTCATGTCTCATCTGGTCTCTTCTTTTTCTCATCTCGTCTAATGTCTTCCATGTCACGTCTTCTCCTTTCCAGCTTTTCTCTTGTACTCACCTCCTCATTTTATCTTGTGTAGTCTCATCTTCTCTTGTCTTTTTTTTTTTACCTGTTTTCGTCTAATCTCCTCTTTTTGTCTTGCCTCTTCTTCTCTCCTGTTGTTGTGTCTGGTCTTGTTTCACTTTGTTTCCTCTTTTCTCATCCTGTCTGTGCTCTCATTTTCCTCTTCTTGTTTCTTATACTTCTCATCTACTTCTCTCCTTTTGTCATCTAGTTCGTCTTCTCTTCTTTGCTCATCAGGTCCATCCTATTCTCTATCGATTGTTGCTGTTTTGTGCTGCTCGGTTTGTGATTGCATAATTGACTCATGCTCTGTTAAGGTTTAAGGAAGGCAGAGAACGGCTGATTTGTTTGTGTAAAGATCGTCATAACATTTCTAAAACCACTTTTGGCTGCACCACACCCTGTGAGAGATTGCATGGCTTTGGTATTGTCTAGCACCTCCTCCTCAGACGGAGAATTTGTTTGGAGCGCTGGTGTCATCACTGTCTGTTTGCTTTGTATTTCTGGTTCTGTGTGTAATGCTTTACAGTGGAGAGTCAGTCTTCCATCCAGTCGAATATCCACCGATATCAGGTCAATGTTGAGTTTCCCTAAAAGCATGCTAGCAGGAACACTTATTTTAAGATCATGTATAAGAGCCAGTGACCTACATATAGAGGATCATCGCCGCCCGAGATCCACAAATCACTGCAAAGTTTTTAGCCCTGTGAAACCTTCCCACAATCTCCAGCAGCTGAGGATTTTCAGATCCTCCCAGGATTTGCTAGTGTTTTTAGTTTCCAAATGTAGACGTTTCATAGGATGATATCCAACAGTAAGATCACTTAGTTTTGATAGTTTAGGTTTTGAGAAACAGTAGGTGTTTTAGCTTCTTGAGGCCCATTCACACCAAAAAAGACTGCCCAGGATGAAAATATTCTGTTTATTAAGTGCTTGCTGCAGTTTTGTCACATGCTTTTTAAAGTCAGGATGGTTCTGATTGGATGTTAATGTTTTAATTGTTCTACACAAATCATTCTGAAATTGATTCCAGCGATATTTTTCCGCTGTGTCATGGGGATGGGGACTAACTTGACAACTAGCAATTTAGCATTTTTTGCCGTGTTGAAAAAGCAGTTTTGACATTTTGTTACATGGGAAAAAGGTTCAATGAGAAGTTCTGTAGATGACACAAGTTTTGATCTGCGGAAGATGCATCTTAAACATGCAGTACCATTTCAAAAGTTTGGGGTCTGTAAGAATTTTTGTTTAATTTTTTTATTATTTTTTTTCTTCTATTCACCATTTGTCTGATAAGAATACAGAAAACAGTAATATTGTGCAATATTATTACCTTTACTGTCAATAGCTGTTTTCTCTTTACTATTTTTAAAATGTAACTTATTCTTATGACGGCAAACCTGAATTTTCAGCAGCCATAAAGTGAGTCTTCAGTGTTGCATGACCCTTCAGAAATCAGTCTAATATGGTGATTTAAAGAAACATTTCTTATTATTAATGTTGAAACCTTTTTTTAAGGATAGATTTTTAAAGTCTCTACTTTCACTTTAGATTAATTTAAAAGAGTAGTTTACTTTTGAAAAAAACTTTTTCTGATAATTTACTCACCCCCATGTCATCCAACATGTCCATGTCATTCTTTCTTCAGTCGAAAAGAAATTAAGGTTTTTGATGAAAACATTCCAGCATTTTTCTCCATATAATGCACTTCAGTGGGAACCAAACTGTAAACTGTTCAAAGGGCTTTAAAGGTGCCATATACAATAATTGAGGTAACAATATACGAAAAATGAGCTACACGCATCAAAAGAATGAGAAGAAATAAGTGCAAAGATGTCATTAAAAAACTGACAAGTTATAGTGCTGCCGAGATATTAACCTGAATTAGCATGCTAAATTACTAGCCCCGGCCCGGCAGGTATCGTAATACCAGTTCCGGCCATGGGAGGCGGTATGCGGACGGGCAACGTTAGCACCAGCCAAACTGCAATACGCGAGTGAGTCGCGCTCGCGCCGGCTTGTGTGTGTGTATGTGTACTTGAACCTGATGTCAGTCGTGTGGATATACAGCCCACTACTACATTTCAGTTCAGGGAAGAGTTCAAAAAATGATTGGTCGACATTATGCATGAGGAATACATTTTGGTAAGTTGTAGCATACTGTATCTTTCAACAGAGTTCATGTTCTTTTTCCAGCTAGTAGAGACGATCGGTTCACGTGCGCTAGGGATCTGTAGTGTAACATGTACAAGCGCCAAAACGGTATTTATTCTTTGAATTGCGTAATATAATTGACAGAATCTGAGAGCTTAACTAACCTGCTTGCTAAGTGTCAATTGCGTGTGTCTCACGGTGAATTCACGGCGCTAGCTTGATCAACATCAGCGAATGCTGTCTGTCAAATTAATTCACTAACAATAAAAGTGTAATATGAACAAAACGAATACCATAAACTTCAAATAATTGCCCAAGCTTTTATTTTCCCATACCGTCGAAATGCACCAGCTTGTTTTTGAGATCTATGAGGCGGTCTTCATCATTTAGTGTTGAGATTCATAGTGTTTAGTTTAGTTCACTCTAGTGTTTAGTTTATTGAGTCTCTGATCTCTAAAAATCTCCAAATGTTCCACGTGAAACTGCGGTCTTCCAACCTTTTACTATCATGTCAAATGATTTGAATAACATGCGCGATGGTAGGAGCACAAGTCATTTTTTGGAGGTATACTGCCCCCATCTGTTATGGAATATGGAGTAGGATTTGATTTATTATGGTAGATGGCACCTTTAAACGATTCCAGATGATGAATAAGGGTCTTATCAAGCGAACCGATCGGTCATTTAAAAAAAATGACAAAGTTTAAGTTTTATAAGCTTAAATGTTCGCCTTGCTCTGTTCTGTGACGCACCTTTGTCACTCCTGTTCGAACTCGTTCATCAAAATGAACGAATCTTTTTCAATTGGTTCATTCAATGAACCAATTGAAACGAGTCAATTGGTTCATTCAATGAACAAAACGAACAAATTGACTCAGAAAAAGATTTGTTCATTTTGATTAACGAGTTCGAACAGGAGAGTCACGAACGTGCATCACAGAACAGAGCAAGGCGACCATTTGAGCTTATAAAACTTTAACTTTGTTATTTTTTTTTTAAATGAGCGATCGTTTCACTTGATAAGATCCTTATTATTCGTCTGGAATCGTTTAAAGCCCTTTGAACAGCTTGCAGTTTGTACTGAAAGTGCCTTTTGGACCTTGAACTGTTTGGTTCCCATTGAAGTCCATTTATATGGAGAAAAATCCTGTAATGTTTTCATCAAAAACCTTAATTTCTTTTCGACTGAAGAAAGAAAGACATGGACATCTTGGATGACATGGGGACTGAGTAAATTTTCAGCAAAAGTTTTTTTGAAAAGTGAACTACTCCTTTAATTTATCTTTGCTGAACGAAAGTATTAATTTCTTTTCTTTTTTAAAATCTTACTGACCTTAAACTTTTGAACATATTAGTGTATTGTGTTTTGGGAGCTGCATTTAAAAAGTTTTTCTAGGGGTAAGTTTCCTTTCGCAAGGGTCAGAGCAAAAGGTTGGACATTTGACAAGCCCTGATACAGCAGGTGTATTTGACTCTAATTGTTATTGATAAGCCTATTTAAAGATGAGTCACTGCAGTTTTTTTCACCCATAGAGTGCAGATTCCAGTGTGCTAACGGCAGATGTCTGAACCTGGGCTCGCAGGTCTGTGATCAGTTCAACCACTGCGGAGACAACAGTGATGAGGAGCACTGCCCCATCTCCACCCAGCATCCTGCATCTGCCATCTTCAGCTGTGAGTCCATCTCTCTAACATTCTTGCTCCTGCTCCTGCCTGTGTTCTGCTTCTGATGAGGTCAGCAGGATGTTTTCGTGCTTCTCATCTGAATTCCTGAGGCGTTTGTATCCAAGCCACCTGCAGGGTGTGAGTGTGAGACGAGTGTTAAATGGTGTCTCTGCATGTTGAAATGTGGGGGGAGTGTGTGTGTGTGTGTGTGTTTGGCCTGGTAAACCATTCTGGGGACAAAATGTCCAAAATCCTTGACCTTGGGGGACATTTTTGGTCCCCATGAGGAAAACTTGTCTTTTTGGTGATATTTGACATTTTCCTCTATGTATTTTTTGCCAATGACATTGTTTTGCCTATTTCTACATTAAAAATGCCATTCATCCATATATTGACTTGAACTCCCACTCTCTATGATGAGCATATTTTTAATTTCTAAATGAAATTTTGTTTTAATATTTTTGGGAGGGGCATAAAGTAAAATATGTCAGGGTGATACAACTGCCCTGATTAGAGATTGACATATTTTATTTTGAAAACTGTTATTTTAAGGCAATGTTAATGTTTAAAAACACTTTTACATTTAAATGTTGTGAATTATAGGTTATTACATTTTGCTTGATAGTTATGCCTCACAATCTTTTTTTTTTTTTCCAAAGAGTGGATTTCCTAAACCTTTGCATTTGTGTTTTAAACTAGATTTTTCCTTTTTATTTTCGTTTGGACTCTCGGTAACATTTCATTGACCTATATGTTTGCTCAAATTGTGAAATTGTCAAAATCTTGGTGAATTTTCTCTATTTTGTCCAGTCCCTTGTGCGAGACTGTGGCAGCCAGTCACTTTGATCTACCGTAGCTCTTTTTTGTCTCCAAGTTTGAGGAAACCAGAGTAGACAAAAAAAAAAAAAAAATCCAGAAAGAAGCACATAGCTCCGTCTGAGTTTATCTTTCCGGGCTGTGTTGAAATCAGTCATCTGTTCTTGCCGTGTCATGCTCCCCTGTGTTCGCTCTGCTCTGAGGAGTGTCTTCAGTCAGAGCTGTTAGAGCAGTAAAGCTCATTTCTCCAGCAGACAAACAGCCGCCATATACTCAGAGCCGAATGATGCTGATAGACGTTAGTGAAGACGATATATGCTGAGAGCGAGACAGAATCTGAGGAAATGTTTAGAGTCTAATCGAGTTTGCCATCTCTCTGTCTACAGCAGGGCCAGACAGATTGATCATGAATATAGTCTAGACACTCTGCACAAAATATTTCTCTCTCTCTCCCTCTCTCCACACGCATTGAAAGGTTGTGGTCAGGACCGTCAAACAGCCCCTGCAGAAAAGGAGGGAGTAAGAGAGGGTGTTTATCAAAGCTTTAGAAAAGCTTTGCAGGGTTTAAGGGTGTGTGGCAATGATCATCTTTGTCAGTCGTTTGCATTTATTGGCATCAGGTATGTGGGAGCCAGATTGCACAATTATCAGGGGATTAATTGTCCAAGAATTGATCAAGAAGGTCCACTAAGGTTTGTCATTTTTTTGGCAACAAGTTCATGACTACTTTCCACCGTCTTTCCTACTGTTTAAACAGTGTGACAACAATCTTATTTATTTCAGTAGATATTAAAGAGGTATGTTGTGCAGGCATTTTATGAATGATGCTGAATAAACACGACGGACTTCTGCACCTTAACACAGAAGAAACCACACTGAGGATCGTCTTACCTTGCACACACTCTTGGTTTTCCTTTTTTCCCGGCATCAAATCCCAGCACACAACTTGGCTGGCAGAACTTTACTGTAAAACCAACAACAAACTTTCTCAGACATAAAACTACAAACGTTTATTCACCCTGCATAAAAACACGTCCTCTTTGAAGGCGGCAAGTATAAGAGTTATGCAAATCAGCCTCTTCAACAGTTTGCATGTTTGTTAATAGCTCTCCTCTCCAGAGTGTGTGTGCGTGCGAGAAGAGTTTCTCAAGAGCTGCAGACAAGCTGGTTGAAGTTGTCAGGCACTGGACATTCATAGACACTGTGGACCAACACGTCCCACTTTGATGTCTGTCAGGGGACGAGTGTCTATAGAGCTCTCACTCGTACTCACTTTCACCTCACGTTTCTCCTCTGCGCTTTTAAAACAGGTTGATGAGGGTCAGAGGTCGCCAAGGTCACGTTTCGGGCCTTGTCTGATGTGAAGAGCTCAACAATCAGTTTGTTTGAGTTTAGGATTTCCATCACTAATCTCCATCATCTCTCATGCTAATCTGGGCCGACCACAGCGGGCTGCATTTTCATGCTAAGGGGCTCATTACCAAACCGACGTCATGTCTTCTGTATGCAATCTGTGTCGCTTGGAGGGAGGGCAAGTCCCAGATGAAGCGTTTGAACTTCTTGAAGAGAGGGAGAGAGCCGGATGATGGAATTGTTTGGCTTACAGGAATGTCCGACTGTAAAGGAGACTTGAATGAACTTCGGAGGGTCTTAATCAGGGTTTTAATGACAGTGTGAATGAGACACTTGTTTGGTATTAGATGCCTTGAAACCAGTTTGAAGTGCGCTCCGCTTTGTTTGAGCTCACTTTGATTCGCGTTGTTTGACTTTTCCCAATATTCAGGATCAGGAAAAGCAATTTATGTCTGAAGATGTTTCTCAGATTTGCACTTTAACGAAGCAACAGGCCACGCACCTGTGCGCTAAATTCTTTGGCGCACTCAATAGCGACTGTTTTTTTTTTTTAAATAGTTATTTTTTTTCCCCCCCTAAAGCTTTCCAATGAATTGAATACTGTCAGTCCGAAAAGAGAAATCTCCGATTCCTGCATTCTCTCCTTCCTCTTTTCTTTCCTCCGCTCACTTGCTCACGCTTTTCCCCAGCTCCTTTGATCCACATCCCACACACGTCGCTGCATTAGCCGGACTGTTTTTCAGGGCGAGGGCCGTGCGGTTCTGTATTCGTTGGCTGTCAACACCATCAGTACTGATGGGTTTCAGACAGTGTCACCTCACGCAGGGTCACAGTGGATTCTGGGATTGTTTATCGTGGCTGAGCTGGAGGTCTATCGGGCACTATTCTTCTGTGTTCACTCATTTACTCGGTGCATTCATTCAGTCATTTTGTGCCGCGAACCTCCCAGTATGATGGAATCCCTCCGTCTCTCTCGGTGGCCTTCGTCCCTCGCTCGTTTCTTCATCTGTTACTTAAGTACGTTTGGCCCTCTGTGCGAGTGTGTTGAGAGAGTAATGATGCAGCTGGGGCCATTAAAGATGGGAAACTGACAGCTCTCCTCCCTCGCTTTCTTTCGCTCCCCTCTTAGAGTGATAGACGGGGATTAAAAAAACAAGAAGAGAAAAAAAGGCAGAGCAATAAATGGGGTTGCTCTGGAATTCAATCAGGTTTTGGCTCAAAGACCAAAGCCAAAACAATGAGGGACGCAAGAAAACGAGGGGGGCAGAAAAAGAAAGAAGCTTTTTACTTGGTGAATTGTTTGTACTTAATGTCTGAATTAGAATTAAGACCTGTATAGATTCAATTACTGTTTACAAACGAATACTGGATGGAAAGACTTCCATCTCCAGTTTTATAAAGCACTTAATTCAAATTTTGAGTATGAAATGACCAAAAAGTTTCATATATTGGGTTGAAGTACACCATTTGCGAAACATTGGAGGGGATTTAGGCTCCTGTAGATCCATTAATATTGGTGGATCGGATTTTACACATTGTGATACTTTGCAGGTCTTGATCAACACAATCTCCTCTGCTTTATTGAAGAGCAAATTGATTCATAAAACTGACCTCATCTTAAGCCTCGTTCACGCTACATGATTTTAAAACGTTGTGCGGTTCACACTACATGACTTGCTCTCAGTGAAATCAGGAGTGTTCAAGTTGTTTAGCTGTTCACACAACACAACGTGATTGATCCACAACAAGAGGTAACTCACTACACGAGTTGACAACGCACTACATAGAGATACACTTTTCAGTTAAAATCTCAGTCAAAATGCCAACAGAATGCCGTCTTTGTGTGGACTGAAGGCCAAAAGCGAGAGAAAAATATGTTGTTTTCAAAGTAAAACTTATTTGTGTGGACAAGTTCTAAATCTAGTGTTTTGTACAGGTGATGGGTAGGTTTAGAGGTAGAGGTTGGGTTTAGCCATATCATTAATATAAAATCAGTGGAATTCTATGCAATCTGCTCACTAATATAGTGAAACAAATATGTCTGTGTGCATCTGATGCCATTGTATAGCCTAATATAAGTGTTTTTCTCCTTAAGTCAAAGGCTTGTACAGTAGGAATTTTTTTGGCTTGTTTTTTTTATCATGTGCCCTCCGCACCCAAAATGGTTGCCCATTTATAAACCATTTTAAATGAGTTGGAATGCAAATGAGAATTCTTTCTCATTCTTTCTGCATTCCCTCTTCCAACCCGTTGTGTTTTTGTTCCCCTGAGGTGTTCATTTCTCACAAATATCTTCTCTTCTCTCTCCCCTCAGTGAATAAAGACTTTCATACTGAGACATCCTATTAGCTCATTTCCAGTTTACCCATAATGCCTCATAATGTGTTTTTATGTCATATCAGTCATGGCTGTATGGATGAAATTCAGACCCTAAATTCATTCACTCTCTGATTGCAGGATGTCAGGTTGCATTGTTGCTTGAAGATACATGAATGGAATAAATGAATTCTTAATGTGTGTGTGTGTGTATGAGGGAGAATGAAACATGAGAAGAATGTTTCCTGCTGAGATGCCGTTTAGTTTCTGCTCTGTTTTTTTGTTTTGTTTTTTGATGGCTCTTTGTTTATTATAAACATCATGACAGAAAAGTGAGTTGCAGTCTTGTTTTCTGTCTTTTTCCCATTTATGTTTGTATACGTATTTATGAATTACAGTTTGACTCTCATATTTTAACTACCTTATATGCATACTTGCAATGAGGAATGGAGTAATGGATGCTTAAAATTCAGCTTTGCTGAAATAAATTGCATTTTAAAATATATTCAAAGAGAAATCGGTTT